CATCTATAACTAGTGACAGTTTTACTTTTTTCTTGCCAATTTGGATGCCTTTTATTCATTTTTCTTGGTTAATTCCTTGTTAGGGCTTTCAGTACTCTGTTGAATGTAAGTGGTGAAAGTGGACATCCTTGTCTTGTTCTTGCTCTTCAGAGGAAAAGCTTTCACCATTATACTGTTAAATATGATGTTAGTTCTGGAATTGTCATACATGGCCTTTGTTATGTTGAGGTATGTTACTTCTGTCCCCATTTTTGAGTGTTTTATTATGAACTGACATTGAAGTCTAGATGTCAGATATTTTCTTGCATCTAATGAGATGATCATATGATTTATATTCTTCATTTTGTTAATTTTTGCATCCCTGGAATAAATCCCACTTGATCTTGGTGTATGTATGGCCCTCTTATTAATATATTGTTGAATTTGGATTGCTAATATTTAGGGGAGGATTTTTACATTTGTGTTCACTAGGGATACTAGCCTGAAGATTTCTTGTGGCATTCTTGTCTGGTTTTGGTATCAGGATAATGCTGGCCCTGTAGATTGAGTTTGGAAGAGTTACCTCTTCTATTTTTTTTTAATTTTGGAAGAGTTTTAAAAGGTTTGGTGTTAATTCTCCTTAGAATGTTTGGTTGAATTCACCAATGAAGCCACTTAATTCTGAACTTTGTCTGTCGGGGAGTTTCTGATGACCAAATACTTATTACTAGTAATCAGTCTGTTCAGATTTTCTGTTTTTCACAACTGACTTGATAGGCTGTATGTCTCTAGGAATTTATCTATTTCTTCAAGATCATCTAATTTGTTGGCATATGATTATTCATATTGGTCTTTTATGACCCTTTGTTATTTCTGTAGTATCAATTATAAAATATCTTCTTAAAAAAATATCTTCTTTCATTTCTGATTTTATTTATGAGCCCTCCCTTTTTGTCTTGCCTCAGAATGCTGTTTCCTTACCCAGTTGAGGGAAGTTTTGAGCCATTTATCTTCAAATAATTTCTCTGCCCATTTCTGTCTTCTGGGAGCCCTAAAATGTGAATGCTAACCCTATTTGATAGTTTCCCATAAAACCCTTACCCTATTTTCAGTAATTTTTCAAAATTTTTTCCCCTCTTGCTGCTCTGATTGGGTGAATTTCACTGCCTTGTCTTCAACTTGATGATTAATTCTAATTTATTTAGTCTCCTGCTGAACTTTTCATTTTCATAGTGTACTTTTCATATTCAGTTCAATTATATTCTTCAGCTCTGTGACTTATATTTGGTACTTTGTCTTCCAACTCTTCATTGAAGTTCTCACTATATTCATTTATTCTACTCCTGTTTGGTAAGCATCTTTATAATCATTTCTTTGACTGTAAATTACTTATCTCCATTTTATTAAGCTCGTCTCTGCCCCAACCCCTAGAGCTTTTCTCAGGCAGACTGATGCTTCAGTTTAAGCAGGTGAGCCTCCTTCACTTTATGTCTGGGTGTGATCTGTTCCTTCTGAGCAGACTACCCTCTGAAGAATCACTTTTCAGATCACAAGCCTCACTGGTTATCAAAATCAGATGGGGGCTTCTCTTCCAGGTGTAGGTCTTAAAGGTTGGAGTGCCTGAGGTGGGGTTCAAACTCCTCACTTCTCATCAAGCAGCTCCGGGCTTTCAGTTCTCTTCCAATTTGGGACCCACTGGGGGTGGGGTTTATGGTGAGTTTGTTCCAGCCTCTCCTACCTGCTTGCTTGATGTGTGGTTGTCACTCAGCCAGTGATGAGGAATTTTCTATTATGTAACACAGATGCAGTGTGTCTGCGGCAAAAGATAAGTTCAGGATGTTCAGGATGGGGTTTAACATCTTGAACTGGAATCACCACCCTGAACTAAGTTTCTTGACAGTGGAATCATATGCAGGCTGTATTTTTTATTCTTCAAAATATACATCATTGTGTTTTGCCAGTGGTATATATTAGTGGCTTAGGGATGATACTTTTGGAGAAGGCAATGGCACCCCACTCCAGTACTCTTGCCTGGAAAATCTCATGGATGGAGGAGCCTGGTAGGCTGCAGTCCATGGGGTCGCTAAGAGTCGGACACGACTGAGGGTCTTCACTTTCACTTCTCACTTCCATGCATTGGAGAAGGAAATGGCAGCCCACTCCAGTGTTCTAGCCTGGAGAATCCCAGGGAAGGAGGAGCCTGGTGAGCTGCCGTCTATGGGGTCGCACAGAGTCGGACATGACTGAAGTGACTTAGCAGCAGCAGGGATGACACTTAAGATGAGGGCAGTGGGGGGAGATACGTAGAAGTCTTGAAGGCTGTGACAACTGGACTTGTATGAGTGTGATGAAAGCCTACCAAGTCTTTCCCTCTGAAAACACTGTCAGCAAACCACAGGGTGACTCTCCAGACCGTGGCAGAGACTCCTGCTTGTCTCTACTATTCACCCTCTCCCTCTTGAGTAGTTAGCTAGGTACGCAGTCATATAGGTAAAGATGCCATATTCAAGGTTCCCTTGCAGGCCATCTAAGGTTTCAACCTAAAAATATTTATACTTACCTTGTAACTGGTTTCTTTAGATGATTTAAATACCTTTATTTTGCTGGTATGGCTTTATTTAAACTAGGATCACCTTGCAGCAAGACAAGGGACTAAATTTTCTATCCTTTTGAACACAGACTGCCAAACAGTATTCTGTAAATGGTAGGCATTCAATAGACTTTTCAGCAAATCTGAAAACCAAAATGACTCTTACAAAGATTCAAAGTATATAAAAAACAGTGCTCATTTAAAAAGACATACACTAAATGAAAATATGCATTTATTACCAACAAAGTAGCATTTCCCACAAAGAGTTTTTTCCAGTTACACCTGCAGATACATAGCAGCAGGACAAAATTACACTTTTTTTTTTTTTGGCCATGCTGCAGAGCTTGCAGGATTTTAGTTCCCCGACCAGGACTGAGCCTGGGCCCTTGGCAGTAAAAGCATGAAGTCCTAACCACTGGACCACCAGGAATTCCCCCAAATTACATTTTTTTAGGTACTAAAGATTCATACTCCAAACAAAATAAACACACATCCAAAAGACAATTAGAAAGCAGCAAGAAATCTTTCCTTTTAATGCTAAAATCCTTAGGCAAATCAATTAAGGTTTTGTCATTATAAATAATTGCTTGTCACCTTTTAGGGTTTTAAATATTTTATTCATCAAATGAGACTATTATATGAAGTTTTTATAATCTGTAATTAAAATCAACTTTTGCAGAAAATATGTGAAGTTTCAAGTGGCTGAGTTATTGTGCAAGACTTACTACTTTATTAATGTTAAAATACATAATTTATTCTTCGAAGCTCAACTTTCAGTGTAAAACCAAGTATTTGTCCACTAGAAAGATACAAATGCTTATAAACAAGGTTTGGAATAATTACTGGCATATGCAAACTGAAATAATCTTCAAACTTTTTTCACATTGATGATCATTTTGTAGAAATAAGATGACTGGCACTTAGACAGTAAATGAACTACACCAAGCACATGTTAGTAAAAACATTCATTTACTAACATGTTACCAACATTTTCAATTTTTACATGAATTGTTTGCTCTAGTAAAAATGTTATTTTAAAATATTTTCATAGTACATGCATTAGACTTAGTTTAAGAGGGGAAGGTTCTTTTAAAATTTTTATGAAGAAAAAAAAGTTTTTTAAAGAGAAAATGTCCAAATAAGAGGACACAGACATTCATTATTTTTTGACTTAACAAGAATATAAATTTCAGTAGCTGTTTAAGAACATACAAAACCCAAACTCAATACAATTCTTCAGTTTAGTCAAGCTACCAAGTCAAAGAAATAATTGTCATTACCTCTACAGATCCAATCCACTTTTTAAAGATGTCCTTGATCCAATTCTTTATTTTACAAGATTTTAAAGAATAGAATGTTTTGGCACTGTTAATTAGTATAACTCAGAGATAAACAAATGATTTTCTAATCCGATTCTTCCATGCTGCAAGAACAGTTTAAATTAGATTTTCTAATTTAATACTGGGGTAGAATCAACACTGTAAATTAGAAGGACCTACATAAGCTTAAGGTCTAAAAACAATTATGGTTTTAAACAAATCAATGCTTTTGCTCACTCTACATAACACTGAGAAATTTCAATATAAACTGTAGAAACCAGTATAAGAAATGTTAAGAAAAATTTTACTAAAAATAATTATAAAAATGCTTTAGAAATTTAAGATGTAAAAATTGACTTTAAATTAAAAAAAGAAAAAAAGATCAAGCCTGAAAAGACCCACCACATTTTACAGGGTTATTCTTTAAAAACTCTTGCCACTTTATTCTCTGTCAATCTTTTGGTTGCATTTTGCATCATCTAGTGGCCATCATGTGGCATTTCAAAGAAGTCCTGCTACAAGTACTTTCCTCTCCTTTGAGATACCAATACAATTACAGTATCAAGTTTCATAAAACTTCTTTTTAAAAGGTTCCTAAAATCCCATTTCCTAGTGGAGATAAGGTAATCTTTTTAATAGGAAGAAATGAATAGATTTGTCATAAATTATTACTATACATTAGACATTTCCATATCAAATTTTAAAAATTAAATATAACACTGGGTGAAACTATGACTTAAGCTTTAGAGTCATCTTTAGACTCTAAAAGTAGTTAAAAATTACATTGCAAGTAAAGCTCAGGGTTCCCATGTCAACTAAACTTCTTGTAACCAATAACCCCTTCCACTGTGTTCTGATTTAAGTAGGAAATACTGTAAAAGTGGGGACCCAGTTACTTATGGTCAGAGTGCTAAGGACTCAAGATTTAAATTTTACTACCAAATGATGTTCCACAGAAAGGAGTTATTATGGTCTCTCTTCATCAACCCATTTGTATCTAATAGCAGGTTTCAAAAATAACTGATCCTTTAGTCTTAATGAATCTAACTTTATTCAGTTGAGCCACACTTACATATAGAATTTAACAGAAAAGTCCCAAAGTTCTTGCCCTTTCACTGAGAAGGCTGAGTGAATGTAATACGGCGCCGCCGCCTTTGGAAAGCCTTTAAATTCCATCTGTTTGGCTCCAGCATATGAGGACCATTGTAGACAAACAATACTGTCATCTTTTCAGAATAAGGAAGATTTTGAAGGAGCTGTGAAGTGTTAAAACAAACTGTTATAGAATGCTATATATTAAGCCCAACTTTCTGAACTTGCATGTATATTTTATTTGTAAAATTAATGAAACTCTTAATGAAGTTCTCAACTCAACATACACCCTGCCAGATGGTGATTTTTACTTGAAGCAGCACATCTGAAACCTGGCCTAAGGACTTGTCAACGTATCTTAGGAGCCTTCTATATTCACAGGCCAATGGGATCACGCTGCTTCCTAGGTTGACCCCGGAAAAGTATATCCTCCAGAACTTTCCTAGGATAATTTCACTCTTTTATCCACAAAACACCTTTCAAGCAACTTCTATAGTCAGGTACTGTAGATCGGTAGCCTGAAAAGTATATTAACAGAGTGGTTTGATTTATAGGCCAACAACAATAGGGTATTAACAGATCTAGCTATTCCACAGAGTATCTGCTGGAATAAGAAGAGATTATACTATTCAATAAAAAACTGAATTTAAGATAGGATCTCCAATGAAATTTCTTTAAAAAAATCTGATTACATTTAATAAAAACATCTTTGATTGCTATACAGCAGTTTCATAATTAACCCATAGCACAAGAGGTAACAAAAGAAAATTGCCCATTGTAATGGTTCTATAAAGGTAAGTCTGTTTTTTATATGAATAGAAGATTTTGAGGATACTTAGGATTTCCTCTGGGCCAGGACAGAGCAAAACAGGCCTTTCTGAGGAAATGAGAAGGACCAGTGCTATTTTTCAGTGCTAAGACAGGAAGCTCCCTAGAGGAAGAATAAATGCCAAAAAAGCAGAGGAACTCTCAGTTCTACAACATAATGCTATGCCTACTACTTTCTTCCTCTAATGATAAGGTTTCTGATTAAGTATGTTATTGGAACTTGTCCCCCTTTACTATAATCTTTAAAATTCTGTTTTGGGACTGTTCCTGCTCATATTTACACATATTAGGCCAAAATCTGCTACATGTTTTAGCCATAAGGGACTTCCAAGTACGTATTTTTAGATTACTTATTACCTACCTTTGGTGTAATAAAGAAGTACTGAGATGTGTTTTCTTTACAAGCAGTATTTACAACCATTTCAAACACTCTTCGTTCATTGATTGGGTCCATTCCCTAAAGAAAGACAATAACGATGATTAGATTTAAATCTATTACAAGATACAGTGAAACACAATAAAAGAATAAGCTATACCTGATTGATTTCATCAACTACTCGGAATGGACATCTATTAAGCTCCTGAAGTGCCATCAAGTATAACATAGTAGAAACACTTCTTTCACCTCCACTTTGATGATGAGGAGTTAATTCATGCAGTTGAGTACTACTGCGAAATTTAACTCTAATTCGAATTCCATATTTATCATAGTCTTCCTACAAAACATTTAAAAAGTTGATGAAAGGTGAGTCTTTTCTCTGGCAATTTTATACTGTGTTTTTGAAAATAAACTGAAGTTCTTTACTCTTATAATGGACTTATTCATGATATCAGTTTTATCTAAATAGATCTTTGGAGACCTCTAGAGCTTGTAGAGAGCAAGTGGTTCTAATATTGTTTTAGTATAGAGTCAATAAAAAGTACCTGCTTTATAGAATGGTTCTGCAGATTAAAGAAGATAAACCTAGAAATGCTTGGCACAGTGTCTGGCACAAAGGAAATATATTATAAATTACATGTTATTACAATACATTTCTTCCTTCTATCAAGCCCAGACTATGTCAATGATGATTCTCTTGGCAGGTCTAATAACTTACAGTTACATGATGTTTGCAATCCTTATGTTTCATAATAAACAGATAAAGACGTAATGGGACAAAATTCCTAAGGAGAAACAATGAAGCTACCTTGCTTTACGTTTCTTCCTTCTTAAAAGAAATGCTTTATTAGGGAAAAATTTCAACATTTACAAAATTAGAATTCCCAAATAAGCTCAATGTATCTACCATCAACTAGTCTCAACTGTGATCCATATATGACCGATCTTGTTTCATCTATAGCTCCACCCACTCCTATTTTACGCACAATTGCAACACATGAAACGTATATAGTTCAAGAAATCAGTACCAAATTTTTTCAGTATTTTTGTTCTTGTGAACTCAAATTCTTGATCAAAAGGAAATCACTGATACTATTCTATATTTCAGTTATGTTTGCCAATTTGTATATGACTCTTCGAAGTTGAGGGGTAGTGATTTCAAAAAGCAATGCATTTGTTCATCACAAGTGAATAACCATTCAGCTATTCAGTTGGATATGAATTCAGTTAGGCTGGATATGAAAAGAGTCTGTAAGGTATTAGTTGCTAATCTCAGATGTCACCAAGAAGAAAATCCTCAAAACAACAAGTGACCCTGATGGAATCCTAGATACAGTCTCTTCTTTCCTTTGGACATTTTTTTTAATAAGCAAAATTTTCAGATATAACTTTAGAGTAAATAAACAATTTACATATACTTTTAGCATATAATTAAAATTCTTGTCAGGAAACATATCAAATGCAATTTTACCTCATTTTCTGTATGGAGGTCAACTTCACCAGCACACTGCATAGAACTAAAAAAATAGCTAAATTTTTCGTTAATTTTTTCTACCAGCTCTTTTAAAGGATTAAGCCACCTTTCTTTTACCTGTAAGTAAAGCAATATAAAAATAACAATGTAAAAGAAGTGTTATTACATTGATACAAAACTTTATATAAAACAAATTTAGTATCAATCTGGTCCTGAGAACATACATTTTTTTCTTAGAAATGTTATTTCATTTTGCATTATTCTATATTCCCATATTAATGCACATGAGAAAAAGTTGAATAATTACCTGTGAAATGTTTTCTCTATATTTATCCAGTTCAACTTTCTTTATCTTTAGTTCCTCAGTTAATTGCTCTATTTCTTCTTCTCTTTTTGTGTATTCCTCAACAACCTGGCAGAAAAAAAACCTTTAAGAATAATCTACCAAAGGATAAAGGTACAAAAAATTTTGCATCAATTAAAACATTAATTGAAAATGCCACTATTTATATGCAGTTAATTTATGTTCTTGTAACATACTAAAAATGTCATTTTTTTAATTCTTAAAAAAGACATCTCAGTATTTCAGGTTAGCCCAAGTATTCTTTTTATAAAGAAAAGGCACAGAACACTGTGTTCCTTAGGAAGAATCTATTTAAAATTCTAATAGATTCAGAATCTGGCATTTAAAAGTACATTGTACTAGAGTTCTTGGTAATAATAAGCTAGACAGCAGGAACAGAGTGGGAGGCAAGTACTGGAGGGAACTGTGTGTGGGGGGCGGGGGTAGGGTGTGCTGTGGTGGCGAGTGCAGCAGGCATTAGGGGAAGAAGCATACTGTAGGATTGAGTCCTGTGAAGCAAGATGCTCTTGATCTTTCCTCAGTTAATAAAGCATCAATTTCATCCAAGGTGTTTGGAAGATCTTGGAAAGCCTAAAGAAGGAAAAAACTCCATTATTATAGGTAGTACAGTGAAAACAGTTCAATTCAAATAGTTTAAATGAAAATATTCTGTTGAGTGTCTGCTACATGTTGAACAGCATGCTAGCACAACACAGTAAGGAATCAAAAGAATTACAAACATGGCTTTTTGCTTTCAAAAAGGGGTTTATACTTTAGAAGAAAATTAAACGTATATACTTAGTAACATGAGCTAACACCTTAAGGCAATGTAATGATGTTGAGTATTAAAATAAGCAGTACATATCATACAGGTTATGGAATTTAGAGAAAGGAATTATCAGTTCATGCTACAGGAGCTACAAGAAACAGTAAGAGAATTCAGAGGCCTCGAATTCATCTCTGGGCCTTAAAGCAAACAGCTAGGGAAAAGTAAGGCAGAGGAGAGACAGGAGCTTGGAGAAAAAGAGCACTGCATACCATGGGGGGTGAGGAGTTGTGTCCATTTGGAATGGTGGGTACTTGCTGAATTGGTAGAATGGGTCCAGAATATGTGGGGCATTGAAAGAGAGCAAGAAGTTAGAACTTTATACTGTACTTGTGAAGAACTACAAAAGCATCCTAAGAATCCAATTACTTTGACAGTAGAATTTCACTACAGTACTATCTTCTGAGACCATATCATAGAGACAAATTAGAACAGGGTGGGGGCAGGCAAGCAGTACAATGTTTTGTCAACACAACTTGCAAAAGTTTATGTACTACAATGTACAAAATCAATCTTAAAACTCTGAAAAAGATCCTAACATGCCACATTAATCTAATATCTTAACCTGTCTTTTTTTTTCCCTCTAACCTTCTGGAAAGCAGTTCAGCTTCTATAGGCTTTCAGATATTAAGTTCATTTTCTTCAATCTGACTTGTCCTTTGAGCTTTGAACTCATGTGCCACACACTTATTTCATATCTTCATTTGATTCTAATAGACCAAATTTAAGATGGTGAAACAAATCTTCAACTTACCCACCTTTCCCACCAATTTGAGCAAACCTATTTGTCCTTCGATCTTTTCCATCTCAGTAATTGGCAAAATTTAGGGATCCTCTCTCTATCCTTCAATTCAAATCCATTAGCAAGTCCTGCTGGTTCTGTCATTAAAAGATACCTCAAGTATGTAAACTGCTCTATCGTTTGTGTTTCTACCCTAATCCACACCACAATAGTCTTGTGCCTGGTCCAAAGCAATAATCTCCTAAATGGTCATCTTCCATTCTTGTATCCGTACTTTATTCTCCAGATTGCAGCTGGAGTGCTCTACAAACGGTTGTCCTACCTCTATTGATCTTCTGTTTAAAATTCTCCAGTGGACTTCATCTCAAAGTAAAGCCCAAATTCCTTCTATGGTCTATAAGGCCCTACAGGATCTGACTTCTGCCCTCCTTGGATAATAAATTTTAGCCCCACTAAGATTCTTTCTATTCTGAAACAGGCCAAATATACTTCTGCCTCAAGAGCTTTGAATGAGCTATTTTCTCTTCCTGGAATGCTTTTCCCTCAAACCTTCACTTGACTGATTTCTTCTGTTCATTCAGGACTCATCTAAAATAGTATCTTCTCAAAGGAGGCTTCTCTGACACTAGCCTTTTACCTTGTATTATTATTCTTTTTAGCACCTCCTGCTATTCCCAACATAATCTATTTGCTTTTTGATTTGTTTTCCCCACCCTCCAGACTAGAATATAAATTTCAAGAGAGAAGAAAGTATGTGTTTTGTTCAATGTGTGATAGAAGGTAATCAAGGCATTACCCCTACCTGTCAGATAAAGCTTCAGGTCAAGGGGCTACCTACTCAATGGTAGAACTGGCAGGAAAGGGCAGTATCTTCTCATTTTACTAACTAAATGATTTGTCAGAATATAAAATACCCATAATGAGAAGAAGGAAAGGCTCTTTTCTTTACCAACAGATGTCAGTCATAAAGAATCCACTCCCAAAGAACCCTAAATATACACCCTGATTTCCAGGAAAACATTTTCATTTTGTCTTTGTTTTTCTAACTATCACCTCTATGTACTGTTTCTTATATATCAATTACTAGTACTACATTTCCAGGAAAAACTATATCCCATCTCCCAAACCTCTCCTAAAAAGGTGCTTGGGGATAAGTGTTGTTTTTTTTTTTTACTGGATAAATGTTTTCGTAGAAATAATTTTGCAAAATGATACCCATATCTGAATAATTTTGGTACTAAGCAATAAGATTGAATGGTGTCCATCCGAGTATCATGAAGAAAAAATTCACTGAGCAAAATTACATGCATACTCAGTTTAAAAATGGCGGCAGGGGTATCTCATTTTTTATGGCAGATCATGTTTTTCATGGCCCTGTAAAATGCCTAACACACTTTAAACTTAAAAATACTGTGTTAAATACGTTAACTTGTAGCATTATATACTTTTTATACTTACTGTCTGATATTCTTGAGGAACAGTCTGCTCTGCACCCAGGTTACATACTTGCCTGGCTCTCTTCATAAGTTCCTTGCATTTCTGCAATAATCTCTGTCTATTTTCATCCAACTCAATGAAATGTTGCTATTATAAGAAAAAGAAATATTTTTAAAATTTATATGTCTGTTCAATCAGAGGGTTCTTTTATTAATAAATATCACCACACTATATATTACGAATTTTGATAACAGTAAGCAAATCATCCGAAAACCATATCTCAAATTATGACTGAGTTTATTGCTAAGGTAGAATTTGAACTTAACTTCAAAATATATTAGGACATTAATAATATGGCATTCTTGAATCCCTAAAAGCTTTGAAATTTAAACTTAATTTCCTTTTTATGAAAGTTTAACCTATGTATAATTATACTCTAATAAAACAATATATACAATACATAGGCTTCATATCAGAAAACTCAGAACCTTTAAATGATTCATGTAGTTATCATTTATTCATGGACCCATTCATTCCTTCACCAAATAATTACTGAGAACCTATTAAATATCAGTATTTTATCATGTATTGAGCATAGGAAGGTGAATAATAAGATACACAGTCATTTTCATAAAGACACAGTACAGAAACATTATCCTTTGTATTTCTGCAGATTAAGTAAAAGAACTAAACTTGTGTAATCTTATTCACATCCATCATGCAGTGTGTGTCTGGTCCTTCCTCCCTCCCTCCCTTGTCAAATTTGGAGTTCAGACATCAGTGGTCTTCACAATGTTTAATATACAAGCTTGCAAATTCTATTTCAATCTATCAAATAGTAAACAATGGTACTGGCAATAATACTGTTTACTTGGTAAAGGTCCTCTCCCTCCCCAAATACATATATATCATCTAAATCGAAAAAAAAGTCTTTCCTGAAGTTCAGTTTTTGTGGGAGAGTAGTGAGCAGGTAGGTAGAGTAAAGAACATTAGATGAAAGCACAATTTCTAAATTTGATAGTAGGATGAAAAGTAAATTTAGCAACTTCCAGTTCTTATAATATGAATCTTGATGTAAATCCATACATGTTTCATGCTAGGGAGCACACTAAGCATCTTGATGTATTATTAAACTTACTATCGCAACAGCCCTGCAAGTTAGGTAGGTATTGTAATATCTGTAGCTGAGACAACAGGCTTGGAGTGGTCAGGAAACCTGCCCAAAGTAAAAAACCAAGTAACATGTTCATCCATCTGTCCACCTCCATATCTGGATTTATGTGCAGTCAGCTTATTAACTTGTAAAAATATTCCAGATGGTAGTGACATACCTCTGGAAATATTTAATGGGTTTGGATCCCTTTTCCACTATTTGACCTCCAATAATTTGAGGATGTTATTAAACTCAATGGTGTTTTAGTTATCCCTAAGTTCCTTCATGAACACAACTCCTAGTGAAATTCTGTGTCAATCTTTTTTGTGTGTGAATTTGTTTTTCATGATCAGGGTAAAAGACAAACCCCAAAGTAGGGTGAAGGGAAGAAATGAAGGAAGGAAATGATCTCCTTTTGTTTCAAATGAAGAACAGCAAGAAGAATAGAGAAGAGCAAGTGTGGGTAAGTGACAGAAAATGTGAGAAGTAAAAAGAGCCAATGAGAGACAGAATGACTACTATAGACTCACTCACCATTCTTGACTATTTAAAATGCACAGCTGGTGACTATGATCAGTCAGTAACACACACTTACCAAAACACAGTGCAAGAAAGAAAAGAACCCTACAAAAGGGCTGCTAAGACAATTACAAATAAAAAGCATTTAATAATTTTCAGATTAACATATAAAAAAAGAGAAATAATGATGTAAAATATTGCTCAGAAAATAGAAAATAAAGTCAGGGGAAATATCAAGAAGATTAGTATGGAAAAACCTGTCAAAGAGAGAGAGTTTGTGTATATATCCAGGTAAGAAAACCTAGTGTGACAAGTAGCTAATGAGATTATATTTCCCTGGACAATATAATTAAGAACCTTTCTACTCTCCAGAGTAATCAGCTCAACTCAAAAATATTACTGTCTGCTGCTACTAACAATATGGACAGGCGACTCCCCTGTCAGGTTAGGGAAGGCAGCAGGTGTAGAAGTCTTTATTCTGATTATGTATGTAGATGTATGCTAAACATCCTTCCATTTTTATTTGAAAGATTATTTATGCACAAGTATCTTATATAATATCCTTGTGGCCTGAGTATCTTTGACATACTAGTTCCTACTATAAACAATATTGAAATTCTCCCTCACTTCCCTCTCCTGAACCATCTAATCTGAGGTAGTATCCTTTTATTTCCTAATAGTACCTACAGGACAGTCAGCAAATACATTGTTTTACTTACACTGTCTCCCTTCCTGTGTCTGAGTGCTGTGCCTTTAGCTACTGTGTCAGCCCTCTGACCACATGACACACGCCTGCTGTCTCCTTAGCCTGCCCAGTGGTTCTAGTTCTCCTCAGGAAGCAACTCTGCTCTGCAAGGCAGTTTCAGGTGAGCTGCTAGTTCACGGGACCTCAATCACCCCAGCACCACCTGACCTTTCTGGAATCTAAAAGTCACCTCCCAGTTTCAGCTGCTCTGAAATTGGTCTGCTGAGCTTTCCACACCAAATGGGGCCTCTTTTCTTCAAAGATGAGAACCTGCTAGTGACTTAATTTTTGGATCCTCTGAGCTTTCTGTTTCTTACCACATACTTGCTAATACCACACCAGTCTTGATGCTGCTGCTGACTATCTTACCCACCTACTATACTCTTGGGTTCATGGGTGTTGTAGAACACAGAACTTGACTGATGTTTGTCCCTGGTTCTCGGGAGGAAGACTGTAAAATCTTAGGAATTTTCTGAGTGATAGGAGTGTCTCAGTTTATGCTAAGGAGTGACACAGAATGGGGGAAGTCAATGCCAGAAAGACAAATCATGTGACTAAAAGGTTGGGGCTTTGAGTCTTATTATTACCCCACCCAGTTTCTTCAACTGCAGAGAGAAGGGCTAGAGACCAAGTTTAGCCATATGGCCAATGATCCAATCAGTCATGCCTAGGTAATCAACCTGGTAAAAATTCCAAACACTGATGTGCTATGAGAGCAACAAATTATTTCACCAGAAAAGGGCATAGAAAGTGTGTGCAGGACCCTCCCCGCCCTATATACCTCTTCACTTGACTAGTAGGGATTTGTATTGTTTATATAATAAAACTTTAATGGTTAAGAACAGCCTTCAGTTCTGTGAGCCACTCCAGTTAATTACTGAACTTGGGGAAGCCACGAGAACCATTGAATCAGTCACCAGTTGGTCAGAAGTGCAGGTGGCATCTGAAGGGCAGTTTTATTAAGGACTAAGCCTGTAACCTAGCCTCATGCTAATCCTGGGTGATGAGCATGAGGATATGCTTCGGTACACCTACAGGGACACCTTTAAGCCGAGTCTGTTGTCTACACTGTCCCTGGGCTTGCTGTTAGCATAGTATCCCAGCTGCTCTTCTATTTTGGGGTAAGGATTTGAAAGACTCAAAAACTATGTCACTCTTACTACCTCATTTTGTTGCTTGGTCTTCTTTGGAATTTATGCTAACTTATACATCACCCCCTACCTTCCCCCATTTCAATATTTATCATTAACAGAAGATTAAATCACCAGGATCACACACTAAGCCATTCTTAGTATTGACTGGAACTCATCTGTAGTTTATGGGATACAAACTGCAATAAAAGCTAGTAGTTGCTTCTTGGCAATAATACTAACTATAATTTGTATCGGCTAAGAAAGCAGATATGGTGAGATTTTGGTTTTCAAATGACTAAATCAGGTACTCTTTGTTATTTAATTGGGGTAGGGTAGTAATAATAAAAAAGGTACATAAAGGGTTTCAAATATTACTTCCTAATCAGCAGAGTGCATGAAATCTTTAAATTAAAGAGCATACCAAAACCTGTACACTGCAAGGCACGATATATACATACACGTGTGTATATAGTTTTCAAACTGGTCTGAAGTCCCAAAATAAAAAATAAAAGCAAAAACTTTACCTCTGTGATACGTAGCTGTGATGAGGTTGCCATATAATCTGATTCTAATTTGTTCTTCTCAGAGATCACCGTAGTATTTTGAAGAATTAAATTTACTTTTTGTATATGTAAAGCAGTACAATTCTAGGAATAAAAACCTCTATGAGTTTTATTTTACAATATCGTTTCTTAACATTTTTCTAATGTGATTGATACTTCAATCTTAAATAGTTCTCCTTTGAGTCATTTGAAATAAAACAATTTAGCCTAATGAGTACTTTTAATCAATTTACTGATCTATAAAGAGAAATGTCAAACAGAAAGCTGAAATTACTAATAAAAATCTCTTGCTAAGATTTTACTATCGACTTGCAACAAAAAAAAAATGACTAAAATGAAAATGTCTTACCTTTATCAGGTTTGTTAATTCAGTAACAAGTTTTGCTTTTTGAACATTTATTTCTTTGATTTTGGTACTTGCTTTTCGTTCTTCCTCTTCAAGATTGCAAGTATCCTGTTCCATCAGCTTTAAACTGTATGAAATGCATGATGTAGAAATCAGAGAAAACACAAGGATTGAGCTCAATTCTCAGGTTTCCTGCTGCTTTATGGTCTATGTAGCAATGCTACTCAGATGGTAACTGATAGCTTCCTGATTAAATAATCCTTTTATGCAACCACTCAGGATTGAAAACTTTTTGTTGAGATGTATCAAGTGCCCAGCATAGACTAGGTAATACTAGTGCTAATGGTATAGGATCTAGTCAGAAAGTTGGGTTTACACTTCCTCTTTGCCACCAATGAGCAGTATAACTGAACAAGCTACTCTTCTAAGCTTTGGTTTCCTCATCTATAAACTGTAAATAAAAATAGTGGTTCTGCAGGCCTTTGGTGAAGACTAAAAAAAGGCAAATTATGCAACACACTTAGTATAATGTCTGGTCCATAAGTGATAAGCATTCTTTATAAAAACAGTCCCTTCCCTTAAGGAGCTTAACTGTGGCAATCTAATAGGTAAAATAATAATGATGATGAAGAGACAATACAACAATTCCAAAAGTTAATACTTTGATTTTTAACATGGAGACACAAACGCTGAGAAGTTTACTTAAGTTACCTAATACAGATACTAAATTTTAAGATGTGTTTTGACATCAAAGGCCAAGTTCTTTCCACTACAGGGAAAAATCAAAGATGGAAGCAATAAAAACAAGAATAAACAAGTTCAGTGGATGTTGTCGAGAGTGGACTGAATGGTGAGTGAAGTGTGTGTCGGGGCAGAGAGGGAGGAAATTAGAATGTGTGGAGTGAAAGAAGATTTTGAAAAACGTGAAGGACAAGCTAAAAGGAAAGCAGTATTTAAATTTCATACAGTAAAGGCAGGAAGCCACCAGAGATATCTTGAAGGGGGCAGGACCATGAAAAGATGATAAACTTGAGGACAGTATTCTGTACACACTGAAGGGAGGCGACGAGTCAGGGAGAGCCCACTAACCACGTCCCCACTGCAGTGTTCCAGAGCAACTGCAGACATGAGACAGCAAGATGGCAATGCATGTGAAAGGTCAGTTCACTACACAATTCAACATCATAAGGAGAAAGTTTAGTTTCAGACCATGAGTTCAATATAGCAGCCCAACAGTAAAAGGTTGACTTGTGGATGACTAAAGATAAAAGTGAAGGGTCTATGTAGAAAAGAACTCTAGGCAGTTAAGACTCAGCAGAGATATCTTCTTTTAAGCAACCAAGGTACATACACTACTGACTTTTAGAAGTTAACAGGCATTTTGCTTAAAAAAAAAAAAAAACCCAAATTTTCTAGAAGCATTTTAAATATTCAACTTATGTGTTTAGAAACACTATTATATTAGATCAAGGGAAATTTATACTGTACTCAAGGCAATGAGCTGTCATTTATTATGTCTTTAATACCTATATCTTTATTCTATAGGAAAGAAACATAAAAGAACAATCACCAAAAAATGTCTGCATTGTGTCCTGAAATGGGCATGGGAAAAACTTTGAAACTGGAAATCACTTTCCTCTCCCCTGGACTGAACACCCTAACAGCTTTTATCTGATCTTATATATTCCAAGTTTCTACAAAACATCTAAGTTCAAACTAAAACTTACAATCAGTTCTGAGAACAATTGCCTGGGATCTCACAGTAAGCTAGCATAATGTAACAAAGTCATTCATGGGTAAAGGATGCACTTATGGTAATGTTAAGAGTATATTTCTTCACTAATGATTTCAGATTCCATGTTGCAGTTGAACATTAACAAACCACACTTTGGCAAGTTTTGATGTAACATTAAAGAATACATATGCTGACAAGTCTATTAAAGCAGTCCTCCCTTTTCCGATTACATATATATGTGGGTCCAGGTTGTCTTCATATACGTCAACAAAAATATCTCATAACCAAGTGAATGCAGAAGCACTTACGAAAAAACAACTAACTTCATCTAAAGAGATTTACAAATGTAAAAGTAATGTCCCTCTTCTTGCGAAATGTATTTTGTTTGGAAAATTCTCATATTTTTTGTTAACATATAACGAATTTATCATTTTAACATACTATTTAATTTCTAATTTGGTAAATATCAGTAGATATAATCCATATAAACAAAACTTCCTCAAGGTCCTCAGTAATTTTTGAGAATATAATGGGGTCCAGGGATGGACACAGCTGATCAAGGAGCAGAGAATCTGTAACACTAGAGAGTCCCCCTGCTTTGTCCTGTGTTTCGGGCAGAAGGGTTTGAGTTTGAGAGGGAAATTCTATGCAGCATGCTGGTGGGAACTGTGGTGTCATTACAAGGTATGTATAACTAATAATATCCTTATAGTGCATTTGTATCACCCTCCCAAGCCCCCAGCACAGAATAGGCTGAAAGATACCTTCCTAGTTTGGAACTAATTTTTTGTTCCAGTTGTCTTTTCTTGGTTTTCCTTTCAAGAAGCTCCTTCTTCTTTTGTCTAAGTTCATTATCTTTGTGTTCCAGATGCTTGTTTGTCTCACGTAAGGCAATCAATCCTGATTCTACTGCTTGCAATTTTCTATTAATTTCCTATGGAATATGCAACATTGTTAGTATATTTAAAAAACAGGGACTAGTTAAAGTATTATAAACTGAGTTAATATTTTTAAACACTCAAAATAACCAATCTTTAACTTCAATAGAAGATGTAACACCGTAATTCTCTGACTTAAGAAAACATTGGTATGATTCATGTCAATCTTCCAAGACAACAAAAATAAAGGCAAAAAAAACCCACAAATGGACTTAATCAAACTTACAAGTTTTACACAGTAAAGGAAACTATAAACAAAATGACAACCTGTGGACTGGGAAAAAATATTTGCAAAGGATATGACTGACAAGGACTTAATTTCCAAAATATACAAAACAGCTCAGCAACATAAACACAAACAATCCAAACACTAAATGAGCAGAAGACTTAAATAGATATTTCTCCAAAAAAAAAAAAACAAATGGCTAACAGGCATATGAAAAGATACTCCACATTGCTAATAATATCACAGAAATGCAAATCAAAACTAAAACAGAGTACCACCTCATACCACTCAGAATGGCCATCATTTTAAAAAGTAAACAATAAATGCTGGAGAGGGTGTACAGAAAGGGGAACCCTCCTACACTGTTGGTAAGAATGTAAATTGGTTCAGCCATCATGGAAAATAGTATGGAGGTTCCTCAAAAAACTAAAAATAGTTACCATATGGTCAGGCAATCACACTCCTGGGCATACATCCAGACAAAACTATAATTTGAAAAGATACATGCACCCCAATGTTCAAAGCAGCACTATTTACAACAGCCAAGACATGGATACAATCTAAATGTCCATCAACAGGTGAATGGATAAATAACGATACATTCAATGAATGGTATATTCAATGAAATAATACTTAGCCATAAAAGAATGAAATAATGCTATCTACAACAATATACTAGGTTAAGTAAGTCAGAAAAACAAATACCATATCACACATCTATAATCTAAAATGTGACACAAATTTCTTAATAAAACAAATGGATGCAGAGAACAGATTCCTAGTTGCCAAGGGAAAGGGTGAGGTGGGGTCGGATGGTTTAGGGTTTGGGGATTAGCAGATGCCAACTATTATACACAGAATGGATAAGCAACAAGGTCCCACTGTATAGCACAGGGAACTATATTCAATATCCTGTATCAAACCACAATGAAAAAAAATATAACTGAGTCAGTTTGCTGTATACCAGAAACTAACACAACACTGTAGATCAACTGTAAGATAAAAAATGACCAACCTTTAACTGTTCTTCTAAGTGTCGTCTTTGCTCTAGATCCACGGTGACTGTGAGAAACTGGGCTACTTTTAGGGATGTGTTACTTGAAATGACTTTGTTTGAATAAAAAGAAGTTTTCACCACATACTTTTCTTCTGCTGTATAAATTTGTTTTAATCGGGTTTCATGTATTACCTATAATGTAAAATAAACGTTTAGCAGACACCTAATAATTATCAGATGGGGCTTCCCCAGTGGCTCAGACATAAAGAATCCGCTTGTAATGCGGGAGACCTGGGTTCAATCCCTGGGTTGGGAAGATCCCCTGGAGGAGGGCATGGCAACCCACTCCAGTATTCTTGCCTGGAGAGTCCCCATGAGAAGCCTAGTGAGTTACAGTACATGGGGTCGCAAAGAGTCAGACATGACTGAGCAACTAAGCACAAGAATAATTATAACATTAAAAAAAAAAAGGACTAAAGAATTAAAAATACAGATCAAGTGAATTTTAGATCAAAATAGATTTATTTTCATTTTTTAAAAGAAATGTAATCCAACATCTCTAAAAAGGTGAGTGACAAATTTTAGGTTATTATTTTGGGAAAAAACACTAAGGAAGAGAACTGGGAGAAAACTGAAACTACCACCAAAGTTGGCTATATTTCTACTTTACTATACAATCTCTCCCAAGTAGGTGTACTTTTGGGGAGTTGGTTGCCCAGCAGAATGAAATCTGTTATCTCAATTAACACATGTACTCTCCTTCCCCTTAGTTATATTGTTCAAAGATACATAATCTTATATTTAATTCCTATATATTTGGGGAATACTTAATGCACATACTTTTCAAGGATTTCAGGGACCTTTTTTTGCATTTTGGGGGAGAGTTTTTCTCTCAAGAATTTATCTTAATAAAGATATTTTTAATATCTTAATATCTTTATAAAGAGTTTAATATCTTAATAAAGAGTTATAAACTATGCACATTCTAAACACCATAACATTGTTGGATCGGTTTCTGTATATTTATATAGAATAGGCTGCTGTAATGTGGTTTTTTCCAGTCTCTAAAGGTTCATTACCAGTATTCTTATGGCTTGTTTCTCTGCAGAAGTTTACAGTCTAAGCAATGAGATATGACATATTTAAACATACTTAGCTTAACAGGGTATAAACTAGCATCCACAAATGGTCAGTAATTTGAAATGAAAGGAGAGCCCACATGATGTTAGCCTACCCACCATGTGTCATGAAAATAATCATTTACAGAGTCTAAAATGTCAGAATTTGATAATAAAGCAAATCTTACACTAAAGAATGTTATTTTTTTCTACGGGAGAAATATGACCATTGTTGTCAGGAGGTAGACATGAAACGTTTAGATAGTAAATTTCTTCAGTGCAGGTTTGTGTTTTCTGAAAGATGGCCAAGACAATGTTAAGGGCTTCACTAGGTGTCTGACTTTGCTTTTCTATATACCATGTTTTTTTTCTAGTATAGACAGTAGAGTTAAAGCTCTCTAGGTGACCTAAACAGAATGTTAAAAAGTAAAGCACATAAGAATATTTCAACTTGAAGAACTGTTCAAAGAATGAAAGGATTTTCCAAGTGCAGTACTATCCTTTTTTGCACCAGAGTAAAGCTATGAAAGCCCTTAGCAAATTTTCTAGTCTTTCTGCAATAGTAAAGAATGCCTACTATCCTAACCTTAAGAAGTAGCACCCTACCTGCCCTTGAAGTTATGACAGAAATTGGATGGTCTGTGCATATTGTCTTCTTTTTTTAAACCCCATCAATGAGTATTAAAGAGCGGTCCACACACAGAGAGTTCTATTGTTTTCATTTCCCCAAATGATCACCATAATATGATATGCAACTTAATAATTTGCTTGTCGCAAAATGGGTTAGTAATGAGGCCCCATTTCTATCTTCTGTTAATGAGGTATACAAAGGCGCCAGACTACAAATGAATATTCTAGGGATACTTGTAGACTGGCTGTTAAAAACTTAAAACACATTCTCTAATAAATTCAGTGTTATAAATAGCAGTCAGGTCTGTAAATGCATACAAGCAGTATTAGTATTATGGACAAATCTGGCTGTTTCTCCCTGTGATTAAAAGGTGGTTTGGAGTCTTGGAGACTATTGGTAAAGAGAAAAAAACTTGAAGCAGCATCAGAGAACCTAGGAACCTAAGAGTTTATGTGGCTGTCAGATAAGAAAAGGAGATCCTCTTAAGAGTGGTCATTCACCAGCATCGAAACATGTATATTATCTAGGGTGAAACAGATCACCAGCCCAGGCTGGGTGCATGAGACAAGTGCTCGGGCCTGGTGCACTGGGAAGACCCAGAGGGATCGGGTGGAGAGGGAGGTGGGAGGGGGGACCGGGATGGGCAATACATGTAAATCCATGGCTAATTCATTTCAATGTATGACAAAAACCACTAAAATGATGTAAAGTAATTAGCCTCCAACTAATAAAAATAAATCGGGGAAAAAAAAAAAAGAGTGGTCATTCACTTATGAGATAATCTTAAAAGGAACTTTAAAGGGAGGGCTTACCAGAACAGTTCTATATCCTAGCCTACTATCCTAAAGTATAATCTGTTTGAAAAATAATCTAGAATACAAGAATTTAAATGAATAAACCATTAATGTTTGAACAAATGTTTGTCAAGCAAAGCAGAATTCAGTAAGAGAGTCAGGTGTCTCTTTTCAGGCTTTAATTTAGTTACCCTACCAGGTATTAAGTATTTATTTAGGTAACTCCACATCCTTATTGTCATAAAGTATTAGTCAACATTCACTGTCCTATGTAATATCAGAAATGTAAAATTATTATCACAAGGTAATTCATGTTTAGTTAAAAACAATGACAGGTTTCTTTAAATTTCTCACAAGTTTTCCTTGACTTTAATAAGTTTTAACAAAACTACATTTTTGGTACTGATTGATTCAGTATTTTCTTACCCGTTCAATTTTTTCTCTGGTTCTTTCAGTTCCTACAGGAACTTCATGAATGTGATATTGGCAGCAAAGGTAACTCATGACAGGGTCAGGGGCATCAAACAACTCTCGCAAATAAGAGAAAAATCCATATTGTCTGAAAGGAAAAGCACCTTTTAGGATTTTCTTCTTAAAACAGCATTAAAAAAAAAATCTCATAGTTGACAAGTGAAGAAACAATAAATAAAACATAAATGAATGATGGTACAGAAGTTAGTCACTTAAGTGATTTTACTTCCTGATCAGAAGATTCATTTCCTGATCAGACAGGTTTAATATTTATAATTACAAACTATTAATCTCTTCTTTTGTGGTTTCTACCATTGCTTTTATACAGACTTAAGACTTTATTTACTTGTAGGCATTTTATAACTATAGTATTTCATTTGATCCTTCTGGAAATTACTTTTACATTATGAAGTAATTTATCCTTCTATTTCCCCAATAACTAACCAACTATTTTAGGAGCTCACTAAGTAGTCCAATATTATTCCAATGATTTGAAAAATCACCATCATATACTAAGAATACCACAATCTGTTCCTGGGCCTAGATTTTGCCTTTTTAGACTTAAGTAGAGATCCTAAAAGGGAATAATACAGCCTATAACAAATGTATTTGTGTGACAAAGAGATAATTTAAATATATTTAAGAGACAAATGATTATTCAATATTCAAAAAAACCAGCTTAGTTCTAATACTATTTTCAAGACTTACTTCAGGTCATTCAAAGATCTTGAAGGTGCTTTGTCTGCATATGAACTCTTAGGAGCAATAACAGCATTTACTCTTAATTTTTTATTGTCACGAACCTTAATATAAGGAAAATAAAATACTACTTTAATTACCATATACTTTCAATGAAGATTTTTAAAGTTATGATATTATTCTTACTGGCATTCATGGGATGATCAAAAAATTAAACACTGACTAGATATTTAATGGTACTCATAAGAAAAACTTTTTAGTGTGATATTAATAGCTATGTGTTTTCACAGAAAGTACACATTTCTTTTATTATTTTCACTGATAAAGTCTATCAAACAGATAAGGAAACAGTAACACAAAGACTCCTTTTCAGAACACAGAAGGACGGGACACTTCCCAAGTCATTTTATGATTCCAGTATAATCCTGACAAAAACATTACAATATCCCTCCTGAACACATAAACAAAAATCCTTAACAAAATACTAGTAAACAGAATCTAGCAATACATAAACACTGTACATGACTCAGTCAAGTTTATCCCAGGAATATGAGATTGGTTGACTTTGAAAGCTCTATCAGTCTAACTTACTGTATTGTCAGAATAAAGTACAAAACCATAAGATTATCTCAGAATTTTCAGCTAACTAGGAATAGAAGGAAACTTCCTACATGTGATAAAGGGCATCTATGATAAGCATATAGCAGACATAATACTTAATTGTGGATTAAAAGTGCTTCCCCCCCTAGGCTTGGGAACAAGTAGGGATATCAAATCTTACCACTTTTTATCAGCATTGCCCTAGAAGAGCTAGACAATGTAGTGAAGCACAATTAAGAGGTAAAAGATTGAAAAAGAACAAGTAAAAAGATCTGTTTGCAAAGATGGTAATTTTCTACACAGAAAGTCCTATGGAATCTATAAAGCAACTACTAGAATTCAGGAAACGAATTCAATAGTGTCACAAGATAGAGGTCAATGAAAAAAATCAAATTATGTTTATGTATTAGCAGTGAACAACTGAAAAATGAATTTTAGAAATCCATTTCTAAGAGTGTCAAAAAGACAATAAATACTTATGAACATATTTAACAAAAGATGTATAAGACATCAACAAAGATAAAGGTAAAATACTGCTGAGAGACATGATGGGATGATGGACTGGAGAGATTTCATGGTGGCACAAATAGCACTGCTGAAACTACTTTCACAGCATTTTAGGCTTGAACAAATCAGTAAATAAACTGATGGTAAGGGGAAGAAGGAGGTATTTTTCTACTGCTACAGTAGGAAATTACAGATATGCAAAGGAAAAAAAGTAGAAGGCACCCTGTTGTGTTCAACTGTAATTTGAAGCATCAGTGTGAACTCCTGGTGCCCTTATGCACTTTTGTTCTCCAGATAAATATAGAAATAAATATGGGTATAAGAGTTTGCACGTGAGGGCTTAGAAACCATGAGACACTAGCAGCAATGGACACATCCAGCACCCAGATCCTGTTTCTATTAACTAGGGTTCTTTGGGGAAAAGCCTGATTTTTAAGGCCCAGACAGAGCAAAGATAAAGTTAAGTCAACATGCTTGCTCTGCCAGAAAGTAAGCAGTGCTCAAAATACAATGGCAAAATACCACACAGGAATCAGCCTGAAGGTCTCACTGGAATCTGGAACAATTTGAGCATTCGATAGATAATGACAGTCATGGATTAAAATCCATAAGATGTAAAATCCTATGAATCTATATGATACAATAAATGAGTAAATAAATGGAGAAGAAAAGGCACTATCTTATAGTGTTAGTTGCTCAGTCGTGTCTGACTCTGCAACTCCATGGTCTGTCCATGGAATTCTCTAAGCAAGGATACTGGAGTAGGTTGCCATTCCCTTCTCCAGGGGATCTCCCTGACCCAGAGATCAAACCTTGGTCTCCTGCATTGCAGGCAGATTCTTTACCATATGAACTACCAGTGAAGTCCAAATAAATGAAGAAGAAAAAGCACTTCCTCATATAGTCGAATACCAACTAATAAATACAGAAAGAACAATTAGAATCATTAATGGTTCTTAAACCTATTAGGTAGTTCCATGAACAACAGAATATTTTAAAAATCTCTCCACATACATAATTACAAACAGAAAAATAGTTGTACTATAATGCTTATTTTTTTTTCACTTTTGAACTTTCTACTTTGTATTCGGGTATAGCTGAGTAAGTCTCATGATAGTTTCAGGAGAACAGTGAAGGGACTCAGCCATACATATACATGTATCCATTCTCTCCTAAACCCCTCTCCCATCCAAGCTGCCACATAACAGAGTTTCATGAGCTATACAATAGGTCCTTGTTGGCTATCCATTTTAAATACAGCAGTGTGTACATGACCATCCCAAACTCCCTAGGTATCCCTTCCCTCTGGCAACTATAAGTTCATTCTCTAAGTCTGTGAGACTCTGTTTTTTAAGTTCATTTGTATCATTTCTTTTTAGGTTCCATATATAAGGGATGTCATACAGTATTTCTCCTTCTCTTGACTTACTTCACTAAGTATGACATTCTCTAGGTCTATCCATGTTGCTGTAAATGGCTAAAATGCTTGTTTTGAAGGAAAATTTCTTCCAAGTAATTTATATATTAGGGGACAATTTAAATAGTATGTGACTATCATAGTTGCTTATGTGCAATTACATACATAAGAAAAATAAGGTTTTCTCTATGTGAATGCAAAAAAATTACACCCAGCTGAATGAAGCTGTGTGGGAAGAGACATAATTTGTACACAAATACTTCTTCTCAAACATCCACCAGCTATCTCAGTTCACCACATATTATGAGCCACACTCAACCACAGCTGGTGTTACAACTTTTCATCTGATTTCTGATAAATGCCTTGTAATTGCTTAACCCACAAAACAATTCACAAACAGAACCCCTACAATGCTTACTTCCAGAAGTCAATTTCAATAAGACACAGTACACAGAGCACAGCCACTATTTTACACTAACTTTGTAGGGTATGTAATCTGTACAAACACAGAATTACTGTGTTGTAAACCCGAAACTAGTAAGTCAACTATACTTCAATAAATAAATGAAACTGAAAAAGCACAGACTTAAGAGAACAAACGTACGATTACCAGGGGGAATGGTGTGGGGAAGGGATAGGTTAGCAGTTTGGGATTGACATGTACACACTGCTGTATTGGAGAGAGATGACCAACAAGGACCTACTGTGCAGCACGGGAAACCCTGCTCAAACTCTGTAGTAGCCTAAATGGGAAAAGAATTTGACAAAGAATAGATACATGTATATCTGTTATATAACTGAATCACTTTGCTGTATTTCTGAAACTAACACAGAACTGTTAATCAACTATTAAATAAAGCAAATAGAGCAAAATGTAAATAATTAGTAAATCTGGGTAAAAAGTATACACCTGTCATATGTATGACTCTTGCAACTTTTCTGGAAGTCTGAAGTTATATCAAAATAAGTCATTAAAAAACTAGAGGAGTGTAGGCACAGATAAAATTGGCCCTGAATCAATGGTATTAGTATACAGCTCATTTAAGTTTAAAAATCTATTGTTTTAATGGTTACACTAAATAAAATTGTATTATACAATGAGAAAGCAATTTCCTTTTCAATTCCCTTTCAGTATTTCCAATCATACCAATAACATATGGTTCAGCATATCTTTAACTCCTTATTATGTCCTTTAAAACAAAATATCAGATTATCTGCTTTCAGGAAGCAACAACACAGATACAGGATTTACTAATACTGTTGTTCTTATTTTTACTGTTATGCAAATTATTTTTCTAATTTGGTAATGACATTATACTTCCTTTTAAAATATTTCATTTCAGGAACAAGAAGTGATTTCAAAAATTTTAAATAATAGTATAGTTAGTACCTAGATATGATAAAAATTGTGATGGCAGTACACATGTGCTGTGTGCGCTAAGTCGCTTCGGTCGTGTTTGACTCTTTGCAACCCTATGGATTGTATCTCGCCAAGCTCCTCTGTCCATGGGATTCTCTAGGTAAGAACACTGGAGTGGGTTGCCATGCCCTCCTCCAGGGGATCTTCGAAACCCAGGGATCAAACTCTCATCTCCTATGTCTGATTCTGCAAGCTGATTCTTTACCACTGAGCCAGTGGGGAAACCCCATGGCAGTACATGGTAGTGTATAAAAATGGCAAACACTATGAAGAGAGGTTTCTGCTTTGGCTCAGCCTCTTCATTCCTTCTGAAGCTATTTCTCTGCTCTTCTCCAGTAGCATGTTGTAGTAGTACCAAACTGGGGGGTTCATATTTCATTGTCATATCTTTTTGCCTTTTCATTCTGTTCATGGGGTTCTCAAGGCAAGAACGCCTAAGTGGCTTGCCATTCCCTTCTCCAGTGGAACACGTTTTGTCAGAACTCCCCACCATGACCTGTCCATCTTGGTGGCCTTACGCAGCATAACCTATAATTTCACTGAGTTAGGCAAGGTTGTGATCCATGTGATCAGTTTGGCTAGATTTTTGCGATTGTGGTTTTCATTCTATCTGCCCTCTGATGGATGAGGAAAGAGACTTGTGGAAGCTTCCTGATGGGAGGGACTGGCTGCGGGGAAAACTGGGTCCTGTTCTGATGGGCAGGGCCATGCTCAGTAAATCTTTAATCCAATTTTCTGCTGATGGGTGGGGCTGTGTTCCCTCCCGGGTATTGTGGCCTGATGCCAAACTATGGTAGGGGTAATGGCAGTAATGGGAACCTCCTGAAAAAAGACTTATGCCAACATGCCGCTGCCTCCCAGGAATGCTGCAGTCAGAGGCCCCAGCCCGGGGGTAGGCCACCCCGGACCCACGCCTCTGCCAGGCTCCCAAAAACACAGGTTAAGTCTGCCTCAGACTCTTGTGGCATCACCGCTCCTTTCTCCTGGGTCCTGCTGTGCACAAGATTTTGCTGTGTCCTCCAAGTGTCTCTGCTTCGCAGTCCTATGGAAGTCTGTAATCAAATCCCACTGTCCTTCAAAGTCAAATTCCCTGGGGGTTCTCAGTCCCTTCGCTGGACCCCCAGGTTGGGAAGTCTGTTGTGGGGCCTAGAACTTTTGCA